ACTACATTTTAAAAAAGAAATTTTATTTTAACTGTACTACAATATGTATGCTTCACTATTTAATTACCTTTCCTAGCTTTACCTCCTCAGAATACATTATAAGCACATTTTGGTATATACCTTCTAAATGCTGAAAGACAGCCTAAACTATTAGATGGAGAACTTGTTTCAAATCCTGCTTCTGATAAATACTGACTTTGGAGCATTGGGCAAGCTATTAGCACCCAAGCTCTCTAAGATTTGGCTATTGTAGAAGAGTGGTTTATCTGCATTAGTTGAAAAGCTTTTCTCACCAGGAGTTCCCTGTACCAGTAAAAACACAGATCTAGACCTAAAAAAAAAGAGACTAAAAGTAATGAAAGACTTTTGCTATACCAGCATGCCCTTTAAAAACATTTAAAATGATTTACTCTCATTTACCAATAGTGCTGTTTGCATACTAATATTCCTCCTAGGTTGGAAGAGGAAAAAGCTTAGTCTTTTGCATACTAAAACTTAGAACAAGACAGCAGGGACCACAGTTATCTGGGCCATGAGAAAGGAGTCAGTCTTGATGTCTGTTTATGTATCTCTCTATGTATATGTGTGTGCATACATGCATGTATGTATGTATATATGTATGCATCTGTCTGTCTGATATATTATATTTAAATAAAGATACAGGTACATGTGTGTCTACATGTTTACTTGTGTGCATCTTTCTACACAGCTGAACTCTGAGTTCCTTAACCCCATAATAAAAGGATGGGAAAAAACCTTGCAGCTTCATAGTTATACTGACAGGAAGTACAGAATGCCCAGTATGTTATAGGAAAGGTGGTGGTGTCCAGTTTAAAACATTTGAGATTTGCACATTTCTACAACTATTTCCTCATACCACCATCTCCCCCCACTTCACTGAAAGCATTGATGCACAGACAGAGATCAAAATTTGTTAGTTACATTCATTTTATAAACTGGGAGATTGTGCAAGGAGAAGAAATCTCATGGCAATTCATTTTCATGACTGGAGAGACAACTCAGATTTCCAGCCAAATATCAAAGAACCAAAGTGTGAATTCATTAAACATTGGCAACCAAAGTGCCAGGATTACGGAGACCAGTGAAAAGCACCAAGGAGATACCAGTAGGAGCACAGCAAAAGGAACACTGCTCAGGGAAGGAATTTAGGGGTGACATTGGCTTTTTTTTTTCCAGCCAGCAACTCTAGAAATCTTTAGAGAGCAATCAGCCAAAAGGATACTGGGGTAGGTTGATCCCTCCACAAATAAACAGTAACTTTGTACCAAAGGTAGAGAAAGCAGTAATTAATGAAGAATAGCAAAAGCCTAAGAACTCTTTGGGGAAATTTCTAGCTCAGAACAAACATGCAAATCTATCTGAAAGTGATCATTTTTGACTGTAGTTAAAGGTACAGATACATAAGCATTATTGCAAAGAAGAGAAAAGTCATATTACAAATCAATACTTGTGGAAGGCAAAGACAGAGACAGAGACAGAGGTTAATGATAAGGCAGCTTTAATACCTTTCTTGTTGTTATTTTTGTTGTTTGTCCTTCATTCTCAAAAGGGACCATGATGTCAGGAAGATGACGTCATAACTTGCAAGTGAATTGGATTTAAGTGAGGAAAAGTCACCAGCCTCACTTATTCCTCAGCAGCCGTGTGGGTCCAGTGGCAAGATATAGATCAGGAGGACTGCAGATGGCCTGGGATGCAGTGGAAGAACTTGGCCTTTTTATGCTAAGGTCTTTCCCAGATCTCAGTTTGCCTGAGGCAATGCCCATTCAGTGATTAAGGCTAGGTAGGAAATGAGGTAAAAAAAAAAGTGGCCTCTTTTACCGAGTCCAAAAAAAAAAAAATCAATCTGGGAGGGGAAAGCCCCAGGGTTTCTGGCCAAAACAGAAACAATTAGGCACTGAAACTTACTCACCAGAAAGATAAAAGCCAAAAGGGTACGGAATAGAGAAAATAAAACAAAATAGAGAAGTCCTGGGTACCTTACTCCAATGGCCTTCTTATTTCTGCTGGCCTAGTTCCCTCTTGATAAAGGCTGTTATAGCCTGATCCCCATATTATATAGCACTTCACAAAGTGTTTTCGCTACAACAAACAACTCTGTAATCCCTGTACTGAAAATATTAACTCCATTTTAGTAATGGGGAAATTGGAATAGAGATAGATTATCTAACTTGACCAGGGTTGCAGAGTTTGTCATGTCCAAGCAGAAAGAAACTCAGGTCGCTTGGTTGATCAGATCCAGCGCTCTAGCCTCCAACTGATGCCATTTCTGGGTTTTACCTGAGATTTGTAAACAAAGACATGCCTGTACCTCAAACTCTGCACAATTTGAGAGTCCTTGGAAGGGATCTCGTTTGTAAAGCAACAGGCAGGTTTTCAACAAAGGAAGCCTAGCTATATTAATAATGGAAAGCTTCATGCTTAGGTCTAGAGGTATGAATGTTTGTTGGTCCTTTTTTATGAATGTTTGCTGTCTGTTTTGTAAGACTCGTTGTTCTGAGGGGAACTGAGTAAATGAATGGACCATTACTGTGATTTGTGGGAAGAGGGCTGCATTTAGAATTGGAAGACCTGGGTTCAAATTCTGGTTCTTCCATGCTTAGCTGTGTGAATTTAAATGGAAGTCTCATTTGGCCTTTCTAAGCCTTTATTTCCTTGACTATAAAATAAGGAAGTTGGACTAGATAATCCCTAGGTTCAAATACCTGGAAGGTGATGAGTAGATAGATACTGGCTGCATCATGAAGGACTTCTAAGCAGTCAGATCTCTGCAGAGCAAAATTCACTATAAGGTCAAGGAACAAGTCATTTCAAAAAAATCAGGTCAGACCCTTTAAAATCAGACGTTTTTACATGACTTTAGATCACGGAATGAGATTATTGGGTCTAAGGGTATGGCTAATTTTATGTTGTATCTCTCCAGTAGAATATAAATTCTTGAGGACAGGGCTTAATAGTCACTTTAGCCTTCATATTCTTACTGCTTAGCACAGTATTCTGCTCAAAGTAGGCACTTAACAAATGCTCAAATTGAATTGGAATACTACTCACAACACATTTAGTTAACATAGTATAGTTTAGTTAACATAATATAATTTTAGAGCCAGAAAGGACCTTAGAGATCAAGCAGCTTATCCCGTTTCATTTTACACTTGAGGAAACTGAGGCCCAGAGAGATTAAAGTGACCAAGATAACATAGCCAGTTAGTGGCAAAGTCAAGATGCCAGAAATCCAATACAATTTTCCTGCTATGCCACATTATGCATACATAATCTATAAGTTGATAATATATTGGGCAGGACTAAACAAGATGGAGGTTATTCAGCACTTGTTCAGAATAATTCACTTAGGGCAGTGTTTTTATGGTATGGACCATTTGTGGAGAAGGGTCCATTTTAAAACAGAATCCCAATTTGCAAATGTCTAGCTTATCCCTTCATATTTTTTAAGGACTTTTAAAAAAAATGTTTGGAATATGTTTACAAATGACTGGAAGAGACCTGACCAAACATGCTTGCAACTTCAAATTTCTGTTAATAATTTAATGATATTCATGTTAAGATAAACCCCAAAAGACAAAAAAAAATAGAAGTTGTAAAGTGACTTAGTGATTTTACCTTTCAACAGCAATTTCTCTGGAGTTGAAATCATGAGACTGGAATCTCAAACTAGGAGATTTTTGTGTAGAAATGATTCCTTTAACCCTAAAGCTAAAGGGACATTTCTGTACAGAAGTTATTCAGTTATCCCCAAACTAAAAGGATAAAAGTTTAATCTCAATAAAATACCCTGCTTTTCCAGTTTCCCCAAACAGAATTTTGCTTTGTCAAGTATAGACAAATGAGATGGGTGGGTCTCATAAAAAATGGGCATTTCTTAGTGTAGAGAAATTGGAAAAAGTTTATCTGTCCATTAGAAATTGATGTTTACAAGAAAATAGACACATCAGTAACAAGCAGATATACTAATTAGAAAGGTATTACAAAATTCCAGGTGAGAGAAAAGACAATTTTAGCAAAGAAATTCCGGACTGAAAATGAATGGGCAATGAACATAAATGGAGAGGAAGAGGTTAAAGAGAACTGAAAATAAAATAAGTTTTTAAAAAAGTCACAAAGTGAATATAATGTTCCTTTTAAAGAGAGAGACAGAGACAGAAACAGAGAGACAGAGAAAAAGATAAACATAGACAGAGAATGTACTCTCTCTGACAAAGACATATAATGACTGTGTGACTCAGACCATAAATTGTAAAGTAACAATCTGAGTTCCCTGAACCAATGAAATCACAGGTCCCATCCATATCCCTCTGTCTATCTGTCTATGTTGTTATTGTTGTTGTTGTTGTTGTTGGGAGCAGCTAGGTGACTCAGTAGGTAGAGTGCCAGGCTGAAGTCAGGAAGACTCATCTTCCGTAGTTCAAATCTGGCCTCACACGTTTCTAGCTGTGTGATCCTGGGGCAATTCACTTAATCCTGTTGGCCTCAGTTTCCTCATCTGTAAAATGAACAGAAGAAGAAAGTTGCACACCACATGAGTGTCTTTATCAAGCAAACCCCAGATGGGGTAACAAAGAATTAGATAGCACTGAAATGACTCAGCAATGACATATGTGTGTATTATATATACATATATATATATATATATATATATATATAAGATTTATGTAGCATAGTACATAATTTACCAAATGTGTGTGTGTATATATACACACCCACACTATATATATATATGTGTGTATATATATGTGTGTGTGTGTGTGTGTGTGTGTGTGTGTATATATATACACACACACACACACACACACATATATATATACACATATATATTTATGCAACAACAGGTTGTATAAGCACAGGGAAAATACACATTTATTATTCTGCTGTCCACATCTACACCAATACTGACATTTCTTTGAAAACCTAAAATATAAAAAATGCCTTATTTTTGTTTGTTTTGCTTTGCTTTCATGCTGCAGATCCTCCCACTATCACAGAGTCCAAGAGCAACGAAGCCACCACGGGGCGACAAGCTTCTCTTAAATGTGAGGCCTCCGCAGTGCCTGCACCTGACTTTGAGTGGTACAGAGATGACACCAGGTATTTATTCTGCCCACCATGATTCCTCCATGGCCAGAGCAGGTGTTTAAGAAGGCAAACAGAAGTTTTATGAAGAAAATCAAATTGGACTACATTTGAATACAATTTTTAAAGAATGTTGAGTCTCAGTCTCAGGCCTTAATTAAATAAGCAACCAACAAAAACTGGGAATGTGGTTGGATGGTTGAATAGGCTATGCTCCCTCCGTATCCTCCCTTTATTTATCATGGAGATCAAGTTAAATTGGAGCTAGTCTCCATTGACAGTAGACATCTACTCTACTAATTGAAATTACATAAAAAATGTAATGGAGATGGTTCAGAGAGTAGTGAACTGAAACTGCTATCTTTCCCCCTCTTCCCAATCAGAATGAGATACTTTATGTTATACATTTCATTGGTCTACTTATGTTGTCTCTTGCACTCTTAGGATAAACAGCGCTAATGGCCTCGAGATTAAGAGCATTGAGGGCCAGTCCCTCCTGATGGTGACCAACGTCACCGAGGAACACTATGGCAACTACACCTGCGTGGCTGCCAACAAGCTGGGAGTCACAAATGCCAGCCTAATCCTTTTCAGTGAGTATATCACAGATGAGGGGGCCCAGCTCAGTGGAATTAATTACATTACAGATTTCCCCGCTCAGCAAACGGGAACACCATTCACTCGTCATCTCTTACAGAACAAACTCCTAGGCAAAACAAGAAATGAGTGACGGGGGGCGGGGGCAAGGGGAGGAAAATTCATGTGTAGCATTCATAACCCTCCGTAAGATAATATTTGTACGTGAATGAGATACCATCTCTCTTTCTCTGTGATTATTTAGTTTGTTTTAGGATTTTGTTTTGTGGGTTGTTATCGTTTCAAATTCAGGTGGTTGAAGCCACAGGGATAGAACACATTTCTCTTTAGGTTGATGGTAGCTTTAAAAAAATATGACACCTAAGAGGATAGAGGATCATGGAAGTTGGAAAAATGACGGTTGGTGAAAGTGACTGAGAGAGAAACATTCAGTGAGAATTGAATAAGGTGACTGAGAAAAGGAGACGTAGAATAATCAAAAGGTGTTTTCAGCATTGCATGGTAAAAGAGGGAGGGCTGAGGAATTAAACATTGGGGTGTTACAGTTAGAAAAATCTTAAAAAGAGATAGAATAGGGACATGTTTCTGTATTGGTAGCTGTGGGAAATTATGTCCTGTGAATCCTTTCAGAGGATATAGGTGACGTGGTAAGGAAAAGATGTATTGACCCTTTTCTGAAGAAGGTTCAGCAATAGAAGTACTGTTAATCAGTGATTTCAGAATTACTGATGGTGGCAGGGCTGTCCTGCACCAGTGTCTCTTTAATTAGCGGGATGTTACACCTTAGGTACGTGAATCCCTGAGCAAGTGGAATGTGTGGCTGGAAGTGCTAAGGAAGATGCAAAGACACCTTTAGAGGAATCTATGGCACAGACAGAAGTATATGAGGTTGGAATCAAGAAATGGATCATAAAACTTGGAACAGGGACATGGATAATATAAAATATACTTCAAATAGTTAAAATGATCTTTGATTTACCTAGTGTGAATATTCCCTCCATGTGCATAGGTTGTAACCCTCCTGTACCTTAGAAGATTGATGATCCCTATGATCCCTGTTTTTGCTTCAGCAAAAGAACTTGTCATTTGTGGCCACCTGTCCAGTAATGGGACCCTCCAAATTCAGATCAACTGCTTCTCGGGAGATAGGCATGTTCCCTCACTTTTGATGGGACCTGCTGGAATATTTATCCCATGAGCATAATCCTCAAAAATCCAGGGTCATCTTCATGTCTTCATGAGATACCAGAGGAGGATGTTTCTGGATGGCAATAGAAAAAAAAAGAAAAGAAAAAGAAAAGATTATAATACTTTAAGTCAAAGGATCAGTAGAAAAAATAGAATGCAATCAAATGACTATTATCTTTATGTTGTTTAAATTACCAGGAGATGTTTGCACAGGTGCAATTCAGAACTACTGTGTCTATGGGTATGTCAGTGGATATGTGCAAGAATATAAGATGAATTGGGTATTGAGTATTTTTTCTTTTAAGCCAGCCTTGAGTGAGCCCTTATAAAAGGATTAAAAAAAAATCAAATAATGGCCCTCTTGAAGTGTTTAAAACTGTTCCAGATCTAAATTCAGGCGCACGTATGCATATTTGTATGTGTGTGTGTGTGTGTGTGTGTGTGTGTGTGTTAACCACACTAAATTTGGCCTTCAGTTTGTCATTCATAACTCTCATTGACTTCAGTCAGTGACAGTTTAATGTGACATGGGTACACAGATGCTTTATCAACATGAAGTTTAAAATTCATGGCCTTCTTTACTTGTCTCCCAAGACTGAACATCAGTGTTTCCTGCTACAGCTGCAGACATCAATAACCCCTAAGACACCAAAAGGTTACTTAAGAAATGTACATCCCTACTCTATTCCTGACATTAGTAAGTCCTTAAGTAGCAGCAAAAGCAACATAAGCTATTGAGCTTGGATTTGGAGGGGCGCGGTGGGGGAGAGATTGAAGGGGGAGGAGGAGTCATCTGAATAAGAATGAAATGGAAGTTGAGGGAGACAGGGAGTTTGGGAGGACAGTTGAAGTTGATTGATGAAAGGAAACGGGTAATAATCAAATTATATCAATGGATCCTTTCACTTACATTCCACCTTGAAAGGAAAATACTTGACAACTATGTTCTTATGAGAAAGGGGCAAAAATAGGCTAGGAAATATGAGAGACTGAAAAGAAAGGGATTGGATGTGTTCACCCAAAGAGAATGGAGACAGTACTAGCCTGCCAGGGATGAAGAGAATCCATTTTCACACACAATAATATTCATAGCAAAAGGAGGTTTTCACCTCATTCTTAAATCTTCCAAAGAGACTCCTCAAAGAAACTAGATAGGAAACAAGAAAGCATAATACTCTAGATCAGTGGTTCTTAGAATTTTCCTCCATGGTGAAATCCTTCAGTTTAAACAAAACTTTGCCAGAACTCTGGTAGTAAAATCTTCTAAAGTTATTGTTTGTAATGCCTATAAACAAACATAAAGTTCATTAAAATACAATCTTGAGGTGTTTCAGGTCTTTGCAGTATAGTTTGACAAACATTGCTCTGAGACTTTGGCTAGGGAGGCTACAGATGGGAAATTAGGGATATATTTTAAATAAACTCATTGTCCTTGGAGATAATAATAATCACGTAATAAATGCTTCCTAATTGATTGATCCAAATTAAACTTAAATAAAATATATCCACCCTTAAAATTAAACAAAGTGGTAAGGACAGATAGAATGTGGGACTTGGAGTCAGCTAGAATTGAATTCAAATTCTGCCGCAGGCATCTACCTGCTAGGTTTGTGACCCTGAACAAATCACTGTAACCTTGGGTCATTTAAGCTTGCTGAGCTTATTTGCTCATCTGTAAAATGCAGAGAATGATAGCACATAATTCACAGTGTAACTGTGAGGATCAAATGAGATAACATATGTAAAAATGTTTTGTAAACTTTGAAGTGCTATGCAAATGCTACCTATATAATAACTATTACACATTATTATATTATTATTCAGCTGCTGGTACACTTGATCTGCTCACAGTTTTAGAGCTTATATTTAGCATGCTGTTTGGAATTGATTACCTACTTCATCAGAAAGTTATGAAGCTTGATAGCTGTTGGGGAGTTAAATAACCATATAGCTGTGGAAAAGTGCTATTAAAAATCTAAGTAGTATACCAGATTTTCTGTTCTCTGTATCAGAGGCAGGGAAGAGGAAAAGTGGGTTGAAAATTTTTAAAAAAAGTCTTCTGCTGCTTCTGAAACAGGAATATCCTGTGAATTCCCTTCCTTGTTCAGTTTTGAAGGGTACTTTGTTTCTTCTTGCAAAGGCATGGTGAAAAATTACCACTCAGTGCTAGCTTGTACCGAAAGATACAGTGCCCACTTCACATGTTCACATACATATAGAGAGAATTTAATTAATTAAGGAAGGAAAGAAACATGTTCTTTCAGTGCCCTTAGATGCACTTGTGTTTTTCCTTATCATAATGCCTGATTTGCATCAGCAAGACAGTGCCTAGGAACAATATTCTCTCTGGTGAGCACTAACTGACTGTGAGCTCTGTGTGGGCAGTGGGGTACTCTGCTGATTAAGCCAGTCTGGAGGAGAAGAGGCAGCTGGCAAAGCCTCTGCCAGACCCAGGCAGCAGCAGGTATAAGCTCCTGCTCAAATCCCTGGAAGAGTTTCTGATTATTCATCATTTTGGGGAGTCAGTAGATTTTTTAACAGTGTCCGCAGTGACTTGGAATGCAGTGTCAGATCAGGGTCACTTGATCTTCTTATGCCCCTATTTTCCCCACTTCTCATTCAGACATTGAGAACAAAGTAGGGAACAGAGTGTCAGAAATGGAAATGGTTTATTTATTTATTTATTTTGTGAAAGTCATTTTTTCCTCGTTAAGTCAGTAGACAGTCTCTTTTTTTTTCTGTAGCTTTTCATGTTTTCCTCATAATTCTCCTACCCCAAACAGTCAGAAATATGCACAATCTTAAACAGCCTTAGTAAAATTTGTCTTCCATCCTTCTTTCTCTTTCTTTCTTTCTTTCCTTTCTTTCTTTCTTTCTTTCCTTTCTTTCTTTCTTTCTTTCTTTCTTTCTTTCTTTCTTTCTTTCTTTCTTTCTTTCTTTCTTTCTTTCTTTCTTCTTTTTCTTCCTTCCTTCCTTTTTCTTTCTTTGTTTTTCTTTTTTCTTTCTTTCTTTTTTCTTTTTTCCTTCTTTCCTTTCTTTCTTTCTTTCTTTTTTCTTTCTTTCTTTCTTTCTTCCTTTCTTTCTTTCTTTCTTCCTTTCCTTCCCTCCTTTTCCTGTTTTTGCTTTGTGTGTTACACTTCATCATAGTTTTAGACGGTTTTTCCTTTCCTTTGTTTCATTTGGAGAGGCAGCTTGGTGTATCAAATCAAGGAAGACCTGTCTTCAAGAATCAGCCATTAGTCTTTTTTTAATCAATAATTTTTCAAGGTCATTATGGTATATCTCAAAAGAATTGCTGGTGCCAGAGGATTAAATACTGTCCCTCCCTCCAACAACTCATAAACTTCAGGGAGGCACAAAAGGAATTGTTTCTCCTGATCAACTCATTATTGCTTCACTTAGGGCTTCTATGTTTAAAAATTTGTACTAGTTGAAGTCCCAGTAAGCTGGTACTTTTTAATATCCCATTATAAATTATCTTGAACTTTAGCCAAGATCCAAATGGAATTTACAAGATGGTATTGGTAGTAGCCAAAACAGATCTTATAATTTTAAGTTGTTTTAATAGAAGTACACCATCAAGAAAGAAGGAAATAATTTGTATTCTGACCTTATTAGACCACACCTCATGGACTGTGACTAGTTCTAGGTGCCACATCTTGAATGGGACTCTGATAAGGTAGAATACATGCACAGATGTGTGACCCAGGAGATAAAAAGACTATAGTCCATCCCCCAAAATAGATCTATTGAAGAAAATAGGAATATCTATCAAATAACCAATCAAACAATGTGTTTATTAAGAATGTACTGTGTGCCAACCATTATAGTGGATGCTGGAAAATTTAGTACAAAAATTCGGACAGTTGCTACTCTTAAAGAACTTACATGTTACTGGAGGAGTACAACAGGTTCCTAGATAAATAAAATCAGTCTCAGTCTCTCCCCCTCCCTCTCTCTCCCTCTCTATCTCTCAGTGATCCCTGTTAGGTGGATGCATGGGACAAACAAACCTTTGGAACTGAAAGTCTGCTCTAAAGAGATAATACTTGATCTAAGCCTAAAAGGGAGCTTTGGGGTCCAAGAGACAGAGATGAGGAGACATCCAGAAATGGGGGTACAGCCTGTGCAAAGACATGGAAAGGGGAGCTGGAATGTGATGTGAAAGGAGCAAGCACTTTGTCTGAAAGGTAACATGTGAGCAGGGGAAACTAAAAAGAACTAGAAAGATACATTCAAGGGAGATTGTAAGGGGTTTTAAATGCCTAACAGAGATATTTGTATTTTATCTTAGTGCCAATGGAGAGTCACTGAAATTTGTTGAAAGAAAGGGTAGAGTGGCAGAGTCTGAACTGTATTTTAGGAATATTAATTTAGAAGATATGTGGAGAATGGATTGGAGAGCAGAGACATTAGATAAAGGGAAACCAGTTGGGAGACAATTTCAATAGTCTACCACCAGACGGGGAACCTGAGGCCTCTACGCCATATGTGGCCTTTTGACTGAGTCAAAGTTTTTTTGTTTGTTTGTTTGTTTTGGTAAGGCAATTGGGGTTAAGTGACTTGCCCAGGGTCACACAGCTAGGAAGTGTCAAGTGTCTGAGACCAGATTTGAACTCAGGTCCTCCTGACTCCAGGGCCATTTACTGTGCCACCTAGCCACCCCTGAATACAGGTTTTATAGAGCAACTCCTTTAATTAAGGGAATTTGTTCTATTTGGATTCTGTCAAAGGGCTGCACTTGAGCTAGAGGGCCACATGTGGCCTCCAGTCCTTAGATTCCCCATCCATGGTCTCGACAAAAGGTGATGGTTGTGTTACAAATGGAGAAAGGGACTAATGTGGGAGACAGTGAGGAGATAGACTGGAGAAGAAAAGACTCAGGAGAAATATGATGGCTATTATCAAGAATTTAAAGCACTGTCATACAAAGAGGAGATTAGATTTAATTTTGTTTGATCCTGAAAGGTCAATAGGTAGAATTTATAGAGGCTGATTTCATGTGAACATAAGGAAAAATTTCCTAACAATTAAAGCTGTGAAAGAAAATGGGAGTGGCTTCCTCCTGAATCAAATACCCACCTGCAACAGTTTGGATGACCACTTGTCAGGGATATTGTAGAGAGGATTTAAATTGAATAAGGAGTTGGACTAACTGACTTCGATTGACCCTTCCAATGCTGGGTTTTGAATTTGCAGTTAAAGTTGAGAGTGGGACTCTGACTACATGACTTCTTGGTCTATTGTTGAGTTGTGCCACCCCACTATAGTGTTTGCCACTTCCAAAACCCAGAGGGCAAGCTAATGTGATTAGTACCCTAGAAGATACTGGGACTGAAAGTTTCTGAGACTTATTTTCCATGCAAAAGGTACTGTTTCATTTGACAGTCTTAGAATTGTCCATGAAACCAGAGATGTAATAATGACTACAGGTATAATGGGATGGAGTGGGAAAATAATAATAGCAGTGGGGAGATAATTGAAGAGTGAGGCTAAAAAGCTGGGATGGAGAAGAGACTAGGGAGTGATCAGGCAGTAGGATAGAATTAGGAGAACAAAATAAGTAATGAGGTATGGTGGGGGGAAATGATGATTATAGGGTGGAGCTAAAGTGATGATAATAAGGTGAGAAGAAATTGAAAGGGTGATGAATAGAAGGTGAGAGAAATGACTTAGCAATGTTATAAATGGCCTCGTGAAAATGAGGGCAGAGAGCATTTACCCAACTGCGAACAGTATGAGAAGAAAATATTAAGCTGAGCCATTTAAACAGCCTGAATAATAATAGTAATAATAAAATAAGGTAGATGGAGTAGAACATAGGACAGTGCTCTCCTACTGCTACATAAATGCTATGAAAAGCCTAGATATTTATTTTCTAGGCTGGAGATGTAATGTCAAATAACCAGTAGAAGTTTGAATTGTCTACTCGACACTTGGACAAGTAAGTCTCAATTGTTCATTGAGCTATTATTAACCTGATGCATTGTAATACGCTTAGGAAACTCATCATCTGAGGCTAAAACTTTCAGCTGAACCAAGCTAAGCTTAGCACTATCTCTGGTGTCTCAGATTTTTAGTTACCAAAGTGTTATCAGAAATTGTATCCTTACAAAGTCTAACTTTCCAGAAGCTCAGAGTAGATGACAAAATAGAAAAAAATGTACACACACACACACACACACACACACACACACACACGTGTGTATATCTATCTATCTATCTATCTATCTATCTATCTATCTATCTATCTATCCATCCCACATATATAGCTATATCCATCTATCTATAAAAAGAAGGTAGAAAGAGAAAGGGAGAGAGAAAGAGAAAGAGAAAGAGAAAGAGAGAGAGAGAGAGTGAGAAAGCTCTACAATGTGTTATAACAAGAAGTTTCATAAACTGAGAGTTCCCTTGATCAGTGAAATCACAGGCGTAGTTTAGATATAGATATTGATACAGATAGATATTTACAAGGTTACCCCAGCACTTGTAGTTGGAGGGAGAAAGAGGAATGCCTTGGATGTATTTAGCTGAGGGGAACAAAATAATTGAAGACAGGAGGCTCAATTCAGTGAGTCACCTTTCTGAGAGAACCGGTAGTGAGGTGTCACAATGTTACTTGGGTTTTGAGATAAGATGAATAATCTGTGAAAGGTGAGGTGGGATATTGAACAAAATGGCTGGTTTAAACAGTGCCACTTTTTGTCTTTGCATCCTCAGTGCCTAGAATGATGCCTTGCACATAGTAGATATATGATAAAGCTTTCTTGAATTGAATTGAAATGAAGATGCTGCCTGTTAAAGTTTTAAAAAATCACACACAGGGCACAAACATTTTGAATTTAGCCATAAGATGAATCATCCCTCTTTAGCCTGACCAAAGTCAAACCTGACAAGTTTGATTGGCTATCAAAAACTTGCTTTTTGAGATGGGGAGGCAATATTTGTGTATGAGTTGGGAAACAGTAAAATAAAAAAACAAATTGTGTTATATGTATATGTACTTAAAATGAAGTAAGAATATATGCACATACATATGCCTGTTTATTACAAACGTGCATATCATACACAAAGAAACACTTATTTTTACTCATATCTTTAATGTGAAAGATGCGATGGGACAGAAAATGTTAGTACTTAAATGTGATAGCTGCATGTCTTAGGGAGTGTGAAACATTGCCAAAACATTTATGGGATATAATAGTTATGACAGCCAGGTTGGTGAAAATGAGGAAGTAAAAACATATGAGTTAAGATACTTGATGATGTAAAGCAGTATGTGGAGGATTAAAAGTATTCCATGCCGTTGTTTGGGTGAAGAGGGGTTGGAGTGGGGCTGTAGAGTGGAAGAGCAGATTAGAGAGGGAACTATGGCCAGTACAACTCCATTGTCCAGGAGTGAGACTAAATTCAGAAATTGATACGGTGGGAAGTAGGGTTGGTGTGTCATGTGATCCATCAGGAGTATTTGAACAATGGTGTCCAGAACCTCAAATGGCCTTTGTTGAACAATATTACTTTTATATCGGGTCTTAAACTGGATGGTAGTTTTCCTAACAAAAGGTAGGAGCCTCTTAGTACTCCTACTTCATGTAAAGTTGTTTTGTTCTGTTTTATTTTTCTCCCCTGCTTCACAGATGATATTTGATTTTCATTGGATAGCTCTCTTTGGTACTCTGCTATCAACAGGGGACATACAACATAACCTGTCAGTGGAATCACATCTTCCATTTCTGAAATCCAGTTAGGATGGAAAGTCATCTGTTTTATATTTGCTTTATAGCTAGAAATGAGAAGTTCACTTGTATATATTTTTCTCCATGACACTTACTGTTTTTCCCCCTTCAGAGCGAGTTTTACCCACAATCCCCAACCCTAATCAAGGTCAGTATGGTTTCTATCATACTATGCTATTGCAGGGTCATTCTCCATCATCTTCATGTTTAAACCTAGGAAGGGGAAACCAATTCACAAAATTCACGTTCAATAAGAATCACTCTTCTTCCTTATACCTCCAGCCATAACACCAATGATAGCTACCCCTTCAAACCTGATAGGCATGATATAGTTCAGTGACCCTGTTTAAAGTATTTCTACACTTTGCTGCTGCTGTCTGGCCTGCTGGTATTTTATCAGCAGTCAGGGTGACAGTACCAAATACCCAGAAATAAAGCTGTTCAAAGACTTTTTACTTCTTAGCAGCAGCAGCAGCAGCTAACTACCCTAATCTCCCTTTTTTATGTGAAAGTCAGCCCAGTTCTGGATCCCCAAAAGACAAGAACAGAGAGATTAACTACCCCTACTTTTTGGGACTTAGCCAATCTAAGCCAAAAAGTATTGATAAAGTTAGTGGAAAACATTTTTAGGTATTGCTAGTTTATCATATCACCTGAATTAGATATTTCTAGGACATAGGCTCTAACTTGATCTTCTTGAAAGTAATGGCAAAGAAACCAAAGTGAACGTTTTGTGTTTATTTTAACAAATCTTTGCATGGACAATCTAGTTAAATTATGCCATCTGTATCACATTTAGATGCAAGCTACAGCCACAGCCCTGTAACTTAAGGCTATTTGGAAGCAAATTGGCAAATAAAATTTAAGCAAGGTTGAAAAAAAAAGAAGAAAGAAAAGTCCAAAATGAAACCAACCTACCATTAAAATTAAATCTCAGAAAGTGATTTGCAAATATCCCTCAAAGAGCTGAAAAAAGTAGGAAAGTAGGCCATGAGGGGCATAGTGTGAAAAAATAAATCCAATTAAACATGATTATTGTATGCACCATAAATGAAATATATTCAGATAGTGAATTAAGGGTACAGTGTTGCTGCTGCTTGAGCTAGAAAGAATCATGCTTTGTTAAGACCCACCAAAACTGAATACCTGTGCCCATTTTTGTCCTAGTTTTAGAAATTGCCAATAATTTATTTTTCATAAATACATATCTCTAAATTCATTGCAAACATGTTTTATGTACATTTTAAAATTAATCAAAGGGTTTCTTACATCAACTGCAAAAGATCACTTGCTAACTCAACAAAAGAGCATCGATCAAGCAGGATTTAGAATATACGTTCACATAAATAAAAGAAGAAAAGGAAGCGCTACTACAGCAGAAATTTCCCTAGGAACATATACAAAGCCCAATTTTCCTAAAACTCTGTGCATACTTGGTGGATACTGTTTCCCAGCCACTTTTGCTTGTTCAAATATTTAATTGAATCATACCTTACCATAAGAAAAAAAACATCCAGAGAAATAATTTATGTGCCATTCAGAAAGAGAAATAGATTAAATGAAATTGACTAGAAATTCTAAGTGAGCCCTTAGAATAGTGAGAACTTTTCAATCCACTTCCCCCTCCCCAGTGTTGATTGGAGAATGGCCCTAGTTTGGTCTCACATTATAGATAGATTGTAGTTAGCTTTTTCTTAGTTCAAATAGCTTGTAGTATTCTAGTTTAACCTACTACTAATGCTTTGGGTTGCTGGTGGTGGGCATTGAAAAGCTATCCAATGAGATTTGAGGTAACTGATGGGGATCACCTGGAACAGAGACAAATCTTCTTACAAGTCTTGTATTCCCAATAATGAAATGGGCATGTTAGAGCTGAAATCACAATCTTCATCCTCCTGCTAGTCCAGGTAGCAGTCAAGATCTGACATGCTCAAGAAGAATGATTGACAGTAAGATTCAGATGTCCCTCTTACTGTTCCAATTCAACACTTACAACCTCTCTGGAGGGCATGTTTTACTGTTATCTTGGAGTTTAAGGTGTCTTGGGGTGATCTATTCATAGGCCTTTTTTTGTGCCCCTGAATTTGAAACCTTGCTTTACTGACACTTTAAATAATTATTGGTGATTGAATGACACTAAGTGCTTTGAACTCACATATGGGGAAACACAATTCTTGAGATAATTTTCTCTCCTTACAGTCTAAAGACAATTTTTTCCCTGCTTTTTCACTTTAATAAAAATATGCATTGAATTCCAATTTCTTTCTGTTAATATACCTCATGTGAAGCTTTTGCCTCCAACCCCACCCTGGATGGCTCATCAAGCAGACTTGGTTTCAAACATCAGTGTCTCAGCAGGAACCTTATCCTAAGCCCCTTTCAAGCTGTGATTAAACAAAAACAAGTCTCAGTAACTCAGAAGGATTTCCTTTGAGTTTGTCTCATCACATTGCTTGATTTTTCTGCAGTAGCAATAATAATATTAGTAGCTGGAATGACACCAAAGATTGGCTTACATTTGCCATGGCCAATCAAACTTTTAAAAATTTCTCTCATCCCTTTCCTAAAGCAGAAGACAGTGCACCCTCCCCCCCTCATTTTTTCAACCCTTAGTTCATTGCTCGATCTGTTTCTGTTAGGTGTTTTTTCATTAATTTTAATTTAAATTTATTTATTCTGAAATGAGCCCTGGATTGCATATATTTGCATAACCCTCTCCTGACTGCATCTCTGCAAAGAACATGGTGAATTATAAAAGGAGAAGAGAGAGGCATAGGTGGATCTGAAAGGCTAAGAAAACACTCCTCGTTTTTGTTAGATTTCACCCCTTTACTAAGGTCTCATTCCAAACACTTGGAGATGTTAGTACTTCCACTCTCCATCCCCTAGCTGTAAGTTTTCTTTAATATAGCATTCACTGATGAAGCAAAGAGTTTATAGAATCTCCCTTCCTTAGAATGATTCTGTGCTCAAAATGTAGGGATGGAACCTGCCTTAGAAAGTAAAAGTAATATGAAGGGCTGTGGGAATGGGATGGTGGAAATCTACTACCATTGCTGCCTTGACTAAATGGGCAAAAAACCATTCCCCTCTGCGCTCAGTTCACCTTTTCTCTTGCAAATCACTTTGGAATCTTGTCTAACAAATTTGCCTCCCATCTGATTATTATCCCAAGGGAGCAGCCTTCCCATTCACCAACCCAGAATGGCAAGTGGATTCAGGAAATGTTTGGTTTATCTTCTAGACTCAGGCTTTGCAATGGTTTTTTTCAGGAGCTGGTTACTATTCAGTCCCTGTTTTTCTGTTGATAAAACACATTGCACATGGCTGGGTTTGCATGATTAATACAGCTGTCTAAAGCTCTCTAAAAAAAAATCTCACAAACAAACCAAGCTTGCAGAAACTCTAAGTCAGCCTGGCATATTTCCCTTCTGAGTAGAGTCTGATGTACATGCTGACAGACCCTGGCATCAGCAAAAGCCTGTGTCCCACAGACAGAGGAGGGAAGACACCTTCCTGCCCCAACCTGGTACTCATGGGAATGGATTATCTGTGTCAGCTGCCACTGTGATGGAAAGGTAACAGGTTAGAAAATACTGCAAACATCCCATTCCATGCAGATGGCTGTACAGCTCCATTCATTCCCTCTAGGACCATCACCTAGAGTACTAATGAGTAAGCCCTCCTTAGAGGGCTTACAGACATTTTACCTCATCTGAACAAATGGCATGCTGGCTTTCTCTCTCATTTGATAATCCCAACTAAAAATCCCATTTTGATAATGCACTATATATAGTAGCCATCCTATGAAGATACACCTGGTTACCCGCACAGAAGCATGTCTTTTTCAGTGCCTATGTTCAAATACACAAAAGCAGTGTGGTATAGTAATATATAGAATTCTATGCCTGGAGGACCTGAGTTCAAATCCCATCTCTAATACTTAATATCTGTGTGACTCTGTATAGCCACTTAAGCTCTGTATGTTTCAGCCACATTACTAGGTCATAAAGATTTGAAATCAGAAGATGGACCTGGATCATGTCCCAGCTCTGGCTCTATTAATCACGCAAATTGTTTAACCTCATTGAAGCTCAGTTTTCTACTTACTTTGCCCTCCAAATGAAGGGGCTGTACCTGATGACCTCTAAGATACCCCCCCTTACAACTTTAAATCCATTATCCTCTGACCTATTAAAACATAGATTAGTTACTATCTGTGACGGCACAGTGAATTCTCACCACTGAGAACATTATACATCTTTCATGTATACACTTCTATAGGCATATACACAAAAGCTTTCTTTAGTTAAACATAGCTTCAGCTACCTATAACACATATAAACTGAAACTCAGATTTATTCAGATTTGTTTACATGTACATTTTTATTAGCACCAGATAAATGCTTGCATAATTTTCTATGATTCAGTTTCTCCATCTTTTAAATGGGAAAGCAATCTGTGCATACTTTCACAATAGTGCTTTAAGCACGCATAGATTAGAATGCATGAAGGGTTTCTGAATTTCTTGGAAGAAAGGTTCTTATGAAATTAAGAGTAGTCATATTCAGATACACAATTGTCATTTTTTTTTAAATCACTAATCTCTGGTAGGGTTTGGGCACTTTTACAACATTACACAGAAGCCAGATATGTGATCGATGCTCAATATTCATGGTATGTTAGTGGCATTTTACTCTATGGACACCTCATAATATAAGCTACCAGTTCCTTCCCACAAATAGAGCTTTAATGAGGGCACACTGTTCCATTAACCTTTGGTGTTCTCCAGAATGTTCAGTAATGGGACAAGTATAAGGCCGAGAGAAAGGAATGCTATCGGGCTAAAATACACATAATAAAACTTAGTCTGAGTTTTTACAACTGATGTTATATATCTATATATGTATTACATATGTATATGTGTATATATATGTGTGTGTGTGTGTGTGTTCGTTTTGTATAGTCACATATATGTTCCTATTTCCATCTCTGTCTACACAGATACACGCACTTATTAATAGATCTTGGTATCAGCAAAAACTTGCTTCCCCAAGTAGAGAAAGTGCCTTGCATTTGCTGGAATGTGTTATTTGTGTCAGTTCTTGCAATAATAAAAACATAGCAAGATTAAAGAAAAAAACACTA